GAGAAAACACAAATGGAACTTTTATATGAAATATGTACAAAACTAAAATCCCCTCAGTGGAATTTTTTTTTTTCAAAAGATAATTTTTGCCTCTCCTTTTATTACTGCAAATAAAATAAAGTTTATTTGTAATGAGCTACTTCCTCAATTTGAAGTGGAGGTATTTTATTTGAGGAAGAAAAAAAAATCGAAGTTATGAAAGGAACCAAGCCTTTGCCCAAAAATTTTAATAGTTTAGTTGATTGGTTACGTGACCTTCATTTTTATTACTGTAATCTCCTCCCAATTTTAAAAACAAAAAAAAACATTTGCACACAATCCAAAATGTCAAAGTTTTCCAAAGTAAAGAACTAATTTTAAAATCCCAGTATTAAAGAGATTATTTTAGTATACCATAGACTAATGTATCTCCTATTAAAATAATAAATGGTCAGCATGAACTAGTCTTAATTTTCATATAACTTTTTTTATTCGATATTCGATATATCTATTAAAATCTTGATTAATTCAAATTCGTTCCATATAAAATTATTACAATAGATCCAAAACATAAATTTTTTTCATAATTAGACTCGAACTCGAAATTTTTAATTAAATGTAATAAATATTATTAATCCCACCACAAATCCACCACTCTTGTTGGTTAATCTATTTTTATGTTTCTGTGTGTGGGTGGAGGGGGGGGGGGTATTGATTTTGTCAAAAAGTGAGTGGATGATCCCATAAAAATTTTGTTAAGACCAATGAGAGATCGTGCAATGTTTTACTACGTTGAAATCTAAAAACTTTAGACATAGATTAACACTAATTAATTAATTAAATTGACCTCTAATTTCTAGATGAATGTTCAATTCAGAATATATCCTTCATCAACGCCACCATTTAAGAGTTCTATTTTTTTTATATATATGTTGTATTTACACTAATATAAATATTTTTTAAACAAAAGAAATATATGTAAGTTAAACGAGTCCTGAGTCAAAATGGTCATTTTTTCTTCACTAAAATGCAAAAGGACCATTTGTTTTGAAACTTAACCGAAACGAACTAACCACTCAACTTTGAGTGAGGTGGCTTTTGATTTAACGGAGAGATTAAGTATATTTTATTAATTAGTAACACATTTTATCATACATTATTTTTCTCTTAGGAAATTTCGATTAAAGCAAGTTAATAGGATAGAATAAGTTAGAAGTTTTTCTTAAAAAAAAAAAAGGTTAGAAGTTAGATCTTTTTATTTTTTAATAGATAAAATCCTTTCGTTCTTAATTAGAGGTTTTTAATAGTCATGAGTACGAAAAGAAAATATATAAAAAAATACTTTTCTCTTAAATAAATCTTAAAGTATCGGAACGCTTCAACTACAAATAACAAACATCAGACCTCAACTATGAATAGCAAACATCAGACGATATATTAAAAGGAAAAGAAAAGTGTTATAATATTATTTTTTTATCGTATATATGTTCAATCTGGAACCTAATAAAGATTGCTCCAATTAAAATATCTCAAATGAGAAAAAAAAAATCAAATTCTATTTTGTGATGGTCTACCTGTCTGAGATATGATTACAAGAAATTAAATTGGCTGACAATTATTAATAAAAAATAAATATAAAGGTGCGGCATCCATTGATGATCAGAGGGTAGGTGACATTTTTTACAAAAAAAACAGCTCAAATTTATTACTACCTCATTAATTTACTCCCACCCCCAAATTAATTTGAACCCAACAAAACACTTCAGGAGTCATTTGGTACAAGGTATAAGGTGTATAAATTTTAAAAATAAAATATAAAATTATTTTATCTGTATTTAATTGAAAATATTAAACATTTCAGAAATTATCTATTCCATTATTTATACTTTAGCATCCATTCATATATATCTATTTCACAACTAATTATGAAATAGAATTAATAGCCTCCATCCATAGACCATATTGTAGTTCGTTGGAGATGATATAGCTCAACCTCAAAAACTAATTCACGTATAGGCAAGGATATTTGTAGTACCGTCTTTTAATAGTTAATGCACTACCTCGCATATTTGAAATATGCATGTATATTTATAAGGTGCTATGAGATTCTATTCCTATCCAAATCCGCCAGGCTGTTTGACATTATAAACCAAACTCTTGCTCTGTACCAACTTAAAAATTGATGGATATTATTATTTCATTTTAATTATTTTTTTAGTTCGTATTTAAAAAAAGCATTAATATACTGATTATTGTATTCAGAGACGAATCTATGTACATCGAAGGGGTGTCACGTCATTCGAAGGTAATTTTATATATATAAGGAAATGTATAAATATTAAACGTAACATTCATAAAAATAATGAGCTTTGTGGTTTTAAAAGCTCAGGTTTACCACCTTAAGGGTGAAAGTTTGAGTCTTGGTACGAGGCATAAGGTGTGGGAGTTTTTTATGTATGTAGTAGTTCAAAGCAACATGACATCTAAGATTCTAATTCATGAATCTGTCTCTGATTATATATATTTGTATATTGACATCATTAGTGAACAAAAAGAGGAGGGAAAGAGAGAGAGAGAGTACGAGATGTTTGTCTCATTAGGTAGTTTTCTCATTAATAGATATGGTATAAATGTTTGTCTAATTTTTTTATTTTATTTTTTTGGTTTTTCACCCGGTGTCCGGAACACACATTGGAGCTTCGACTAAATTTAGATCATGCTCTGCCGGGCCCATTCGGGGGTGGCGCTCCCAACAGGATTTTCTCCATACTCAGGGCTTGAACCCGAAACCTCTAATTAAGGGTGAATCACTCTCATCAGTGCACCACAACCCATGTCTAATTAGTTAGAGTTTCTTAATTAAGTAATTAACCCACCCCCACACATACCTTTAAAATGCAATATATGCCGTTAGATTTGACCATAATGGGTTAAGATTAGTGTACGGACGGCCCAAATTAGTACGGGCTTACAAAAGGAGTCCGTGAAACCACACATGATTTATGTTTTTTGTTTTTTCTTTTATTGTTAGAAACAAATCAGTGTCAAACAGACAAATACGCGGCATTCCAGGCTGGCACCATTCAATTCATGAGTTTGTGGAAATCTCATATATGCCCTTCTAATGTACTCATATAAGTAAATAATTTGGAAGGAAAAATATTTTCCATACACAAATATCAGTAAGGTAAGAATTAGTTATAGTGAATATAATTATTATTTTATGTAAATATTGGTTATATATGAATAGTTATTCCATTTTCTATAATGCATAAAATAATACTTTATTTCTTATATCTACCTATCAAACATCGTATAAGTTATACATAAATCACTACATGAACAACACGAACTTTATCAAATTACAAAAACCAATGGTGTAGCAACATATATATATAGCTTAAGTTGGCCACTTGAACACCTTTCGTCAATTTATATATATAATATTGAACATACTGAATGAAATTTTTGTCTTCGCTATTGTACCAAATGAACCCTAAGTAAATAACTCAATGTTCAATCAAGTGCACTATCTAGTTTTCTTGTGAAAAGGGTGTCAACATATGATATTGTATCAATTTTTTAAAATATATACATAAAATATTTGAGAGATCATGAATTTGTATGTTTTTAATTTTAGTGCATAAATTCTCATAAGTTATTCGGATATGGATGAAGATGAAATGTATTGAAGAATGAAGACGATAAAATCGGTGTGTAATGCTATTGAAGTGCATGCATAATTGGTTGAAGCTCAACGAAGCGTTTTAAATAAAAATTTAAGATAATTTAAGAAGAATTAATATATTTTGTACTACAAAATATTATATGCTACCCATACTAGACGTTTCTTTTTGTTCACACTTCACAAAATAATAGAAGCAATAATATTTTATTAGATACATGATGTTATAACTTATTACTTATAATATATGATTGAATTTTAAATTTGTGCATGATGATTAGCGGTGTTAACTTAAACATTTGAATTGTTAAATTATCTTTTTAAAGTTCTGTTTGAGTATAAAATTATACGTCGTAAATTCTATATATGTAACTAACTTGGAACTGTTTTTTAAAAAAGCTTGAGGAAAAAACTCCCTTAACAATTAACCCTTTTTCGTTTTTATTAGTAGCTACTTTTTTTTTTTAGAACTTTGTCTCCTTTAAAAAGAGTATATTTCTCTAAATAGAAAAAGTTTATTTGTTTAATTTCAATTTGTAAGAAGAGTTGTTAATCTTGGAGTCTTAAAATAAAGATAGGTAAAATGTATCATTTTTTGTTAACAAAAAAATTGTGATTTCAAACATATTGTGTCTACGAGAGGTTGATTATAGAGAATATCAAGAGAGATAGAGGCAGGCCGAAGAAGTATTGAGAGAGGTGATAAGACAAGATATGATTCAGCTTCAGATTATCAATGGCATGACCTTTATAGGAGGGTGTGAAAGATATGTATTAGGGTAGAATATTAGAACATAGTGTATAATATTGTCTTGCTTGTGGTGGTAAGTATTTGTCATTGTACTAGAGGTATTATTATTGTTTAGTGGGTTTCGACTATCACACTGTTGTATTGATAGACTTTACACTACTTACGTGTTACTTGCTATACTTTCTTCATTGAATCTTTCTTTGAGCGTAGATATGTTGCTGAGTGGAAATTTCAAAAACAGCCTCACTAGTGGAGGTATGGTAAGGTCTGCGTACATTTTACCTTCTCTAGACTTTACTTGTGAAATTTCACCGAGTATCATGTTATTGTTGTGATCTCAAACATATTACGTGACAAGTTGAATTTAAAGAGCTACAAAGAAAGAAAACACATCATTTTTTGAAAAATGGTAAGCAAATTGAAACGGTGATAATAATATATGGTTTTTACAACGATATAAAAAAAAAAACAAATAAATTGAAACCGATAATTGTAATAAATGAAGATATTTACTCAAATTAATACAATGGGCTCAACGGTCACTTTACCTAAATATTATTTATTCTTCCTTCACTGTCCTAAAGCAAAAAATAAAATAAAATCCCTTTTTAGACTTTTATTCTCTCATTTCTCCGGTCAACACCTCCGGCCATCCCCGTCGATATGCCGCCGGAAAATCATATCATCACCACCGTCCTCCTCCTCCTTTTCCTCCTCATTCTCCTCCCCCTTCCTTCTCCGACCACCGCCACCACCACCGACACCCCCAAATTCCGGGAAGCTCCAGCATTCCGCAACGGTAAAAATTGCCCAATTTCAAAATGGCCTAAAAACCCCTACGATCCATCAACTATCCACATCGCAATGACTCTCGATTACTCCTCCCCTTACCTCCGCGGCTCAATCGCCGGCGTACTTTCCGTTCTACAACACTCTACTTGCCCGGAAAACACCTTCTTCCACTTCCTCGCCGTTCACCGACACTTCAATCACCTCAACAAAACTATCACCTCAACTTTCCCTTACCTCAATTTCAACCTCTACAACTTTAACCCTAATTTAGTCCGTCACTTAATCTCCTCCTCGATCCGCCGTGCACTTGATCAACCCTTAAATTACGCTCGGATTTACCTCGCCGACTTACTTCCGGCCACCGTTAACCGGATTATTTACCTCGATTCCGACCTCATTGTCGTCGACGACGTCGATAAACTCTGGAACATTGAGCTCAACGATCGGGTTTTAGGTGCCCCAGAATACTGTCATGCTAATTTTACTCACTATTTTACACACAAATTTTGGTTTCACCCAACTTTCCCGAACACATTCGAGAATCGAACTCCGTGTTATTTCAACACCGGAGTTATGGTTATCGATTTGCAGAAATGGCGAAATGATGACTATACACAAAAACTTGAACATTGGATGAGAGTCCAAAAAAGGTAATTTCTTTTTTTCTCGACTAATTTAAATTCACGCCCTTTAACTATTAGTATTATTTGTCGATCAATAATTTCCAATATTATTCGAACCTTTACAAATGTTGTTGTACTTAAGAGTTGGAGTAATAAAGATTTCAATTTTAACTTGAAAGTAGAAAATATTGTATTTTGTGTCTAACATGTTAAAGGGTGTCATTGAAACTTGAATTTCGGGCTTGTTTATTTGTCGATATTATGTCAAATGAGTGAGGGTGAAACTCGAATGTTCAATAGAGTGATTATCAAACTCGAATCTTACCTCCTATATGTAATTATACATTAGGACATATATTACACGTTTATTTACTTGATTATATTTTTAACAGGTACAGAATCTATGAACTAGGTTCATTGCCACCGTTTCTATTGGTTTTCGCCGGAAATGTAAAGCAAGTGGAGCATAGATGGAACCAACATGGGCTTGGTGGTGATAATCTTGAAGGGCAATGTAGGGATTTACATCCAGGGCCAGTAAGCTTGTTACATTGGAGTGGAAAAGGGAAGCCATGGCTAAGATTAGACTCAAAGAAGCCATGTCCATTGGATAGTTTATGGGCACCATACGATTTGTTCCGACATCAATCGTTGTTTTCGGATAGCTGAGGGGAGTCGAACTCGAGATATTTGATTAAACACTTCTTTGTTAGACATGATGAATCGAACTGGAGATCTTTGATTACGACGTTTGATGGTAGTGTGAATAATTGTTAAGAGTGAGCTGGTGATAGTGAAACTGAGTTTGTAAAAAGACGAAAGAGGACATAAGTGTGTAGGATAGGGTGGTGTAGGAGGAAGGGTAGTTTTGGGATTTTGAGGAGAAAAAGTTCATCTATGTTATTGGTGGGGTTAAAGAGAATTTTAACCGTTGGATTGAGGTGATGGTGGATTTACCAAAAGTGTGGGGTCATGGGGGTGACGTGGAAATTGGTGATTGGTGGATGGGATTTTGATAATAGATTTTTGGAAGGAAGTAGTTGGATTATGGGAAGATTCTTTGTGTTGCTTTCATAGATTTTTATTTTTGTTGTTTGGATGATTTTATATGCACTTTTGTGTCCTACTTAAATTATTTGCCTTCTTTTTTTCCTTTGGGATGTCATTCATAAATCATTAAAAAAAAAAATGTTGTTTGATACTCTTTGCTTGAATTGCTTTTTATCTCATATTGATAGTCCATAATTTTGAAGCATCTTTTTTGAAAAGAGGATCTATATATTGTTACTTAAACAATCGTTTTAACTTCATAAAATCTGCGTACACATTATTTTCAAATTCCACTTGTTGAGTTGCTCTCACCTTTTTTTGCTCACTTGGAAACTTGAACTCATAGCCTTTCAGTTGGAAGTGAGGGTACTTACCATTCGAGCAACTACCTCTTGTCAATATGAGAACATAATTAAAGGCTTGTGCAAAAAACTCCTAAAACTTATTTTTCAAATTTTATGTTTCATATTTTAAGTTTGAATTGAAATAATGCATCAATTTGATAAACAAGTTCTTTTAAGTAATCTCTCCTTAGCTTCTTTTTTCTTTTATATATACATCCTAGTTTGTGGGGAAATAGGATAGGGGCATAGGCCATTCAAAAAAATAATCTATGGGAAAAACTAAAATGAATTGTATTTGGATAGTTATTCTTGTTTTAGAAGTTACAATTAGGGTATTGAAAGGGGTAATATTACTATCATGTATCAACGATTAGAGGTATAAGTCGTTAGAATAACTTTTCGCAAAAATAGTGTAAGCTCATGTATAAACGACCCTTATAATTCAATTTTTATCCCTCTAAATTCTACGCATAACAAGAGCTTTAGTGCATCAGACCAGACTACCCTTTTATTATGATGGTATTCACCATAAAAATTGATCAACTCCATAGAGGCCTAACTAATGTTAGGACTTTTACTTCTAATTTAAAAGCAAAAAAGGTTGTGATTTGAACTCTAGGGAATAACTTCCTAATTAAGCAAAGTTTTCTTTAAAACATATTAAAATAAACTAAAAAGTGGAGAACCTTTTTGGTAATTATACAAGGTTTTTAAAGCCAACATCGTATTCCACTTAGCTAAATAATATTCTTTGTTTTTTGCTATTGATAATCCTACATAATGCTTAATGATTAAGCAATGTAACCTTGAGATAACTTTGGCTAAGATCAATTCATATACCTCTCGACTTGCTACCTAGATCCAACCTCACTAACACAAGTATTGACAATATTATTCATTAACGCTTAACAATATGAAAGAAATTTAAATAATATTTTTTATTTTTCGAGAAATTTGAGTTATAATCTCTCATAATTATCAATCACTATTATTACGAAGAAGATAGATGAGCATATACCTATATTGAATATTTCATGAAACTAGCTTTTATCAACCCTATTTAGAATAGCTAATCCCACTAACTATATTTTACTAGTATAAAATGGTTTGTGGACTAATTTTAGTAAATTTGATTCTGCAAATTTTCATCTCATATCTCATTAGCTAAACAAATAAGGATCAAAACAGTTAGTTGTTAATGAAATTTCTTGTTACTTTCCGAAAATACACACAAAGTAATTTTTCCTTTCTTTTATGAATCTGTTATACTTCCTCAGTTATTAGTGGCTAAGTTATTCTCTGGATAATTTCAAGACTTTTTTTTTATTCTAAGGAATATGTCATGTAAACTTATATACTTGAGAATAAAGTTAAAGCAATATTTTCTTCAATCTTTTTCTATAAAGTTATATCTTAACAAATACGAATTGTTTTCTATTTTAAAGCTAACCAATCTAATGGATATCAAATATTTAATCCAAGCAATGTCTACATGAAAAAGCTGGAAACAAAAGCACATCTTCCAGTATTTTGATTTGGGAAAAGTAGGAAAGTGAATCCACAAAGAAAAAGAGAAGAGAAGAAGTAAAAGGCACCGAATGAAACAATGATGGGATTGACACATGTTAACAAGTATGAGTTTTTTTGTGTGATGAAATAGGCATTTGTTATGCTTTTTCTTGAATCGAGGATCTATCGAAAATAAACTTTGTACCTCTCATGATAGAGATAATTTCTATGTACACTCTACCATCTCCAGAACTCATCTGTTGGTCCAATTTCATTTTACACCCCTTTGTGGTCCGTATAGAGTAAGAATTAACCTAAATAGTCACTTATCTAGCTGTTTAAATTAAACATAGCCGGTGGATATTTACTATAAGTATAATATAAGCGTAATTCATATACGATGTATACTTTATATATATCGACTAGAAAAAGTAAAACAGTGAATCGACTACTTATTTGAATAGGTATCCTTTTTCCTATGCTTCCACTGAAAACAATAGGAATGGTATTACTATTTGGTACACTTCTTGAAACAATTTTGGGCTTGCTGAGGTGAATGGGCTTTTGTTGGCCCAATTTCTCTCCATTACCATTTGTGGTTTACACTGTGTTTTTCCTATGCTTTCCCTGAATACCTTGTAGATATCTTTTGTATCTTGCAAATGATAGATATCTTGTATATAATAAATATCTTTCAAGTACCGTCTTTATTCGGACCTAATGAAAAGAGCGAAATCATTTCTGATGGACTCGTTGAGAATGATTCTAAAAGTGGTTATAGGATTGTCATTTGGTACATTTCTCTGAACAATTTTGGGCATGCTGTGGTGATATGGGCTTTTTTGGCCCAATTCTCAACCTATCAAGCCATTAGCCCATCATTTCTGCTCAAAGCCCATTAAGCCACTATTTACTCTTATGTATATCTTCTCTTGAACTTGTTGAGTTATTGTGTTCCCAAGTTCGATAACAACAACAACAACATACTCAGTGAAATATCATAGGTGGATATGGAGAGGATAGAATGTATACATATCATACTCTTACCTCGTAGAGGTAGAGAGATTGTTTTCAAAAGATCCTCAGTGATTCATTTTTGTCCATAGATATACAAAACAGATAAATGGACCATTTTTGTTGGCCCAAAAGTTTGGCCTGTTCTAAGGTGCTGGGAAAAACTTGGGCTCTTAACTACAAGACTGACCCTTTGGGCCAATTTTGTTTATGGACTTAAATGTAATTGGATTCATTTTCCAAAAAAAAATAAATGAAAACCCAACGAAAATCGAAAATTTAGCTAACCTATGAGCTACCTAATTAGAAGTCTTAGAAATTTGTACAAAAGTTACTTGATCTACTTATGCAGATATATTTCAAATATCTTTAGGAGCTACATGAATATACCAAGTAATCTTCATATTTTTCTATAACTTGTCTACTATATATACTATCATAGAAAATATCAATTAAGATTTTTAAAAAAATATCTTACCCTTATTTATGTCTTAAAATGTAATATCTTTTTATTAAATATCTGTTTAGTATGGATGAAGTTGAATACCCGATCTTCTTGGACAGAACTTATATTTACTCTATTTACGTGTCATCACCCCATAATTAATTTGTGTGTAGTCTTCAAATACAATTACTATGAATATTAAAAAAAATAAAAATTATCTTGAGCTTGTAAAATGACGAACATTTTGAGACAACTATTTTTAGAAATCACAACATATAGTTCGAGACAAAGGAAATAATAGATATAGGAAACTTCCTATCATAACCCTTTTTTTTCTTTCAAGATTAACACAAATTATTGGAAGGAGGAACCTTCATGTGAAACTTTAAGACACTTTCCATTAAGTTTCATATTCTATATAATTGTATTTCCCATCACTAATTCCCACTTATAGTCCATAATCTTAGTTTCTAAGTTGTCAAAATGCAACTAAGTTCCAGTGAGATATTTTGCCTTGTATTATTTGATTGACAACTTTTTCCACTTCATGCAGTCAACCCTAATTTAATTTAAATTTTAGTGATAATTTCAAGTAATTAATTATGTAAAAAATAATAGCAGTTTCGTACAGAGTAAACACACTGTCATTAACTCATAATCCGAAAACTTAGCATACTAACACAAGCTAATTAATTAGTTTACTTCTTAAGTAAAGTTCCATCGATTTGATGCCACTTGGTACATAACATCTGTATAATTATACTCGCTTCATCTCAAATTATCTGTTGTGATTTTTAAAAATAATTGTCTTAAATTATTAGTCATTTATTAGTATTTGCCCGTTTTACCCTTAATAGGAATTACTCTTGACGACTACAAACACTTCAATTATGAGGTAATGACACGTAAATAAGGCAAATATTTAATAATGATAGATTATAATAGTTAAAATCTCTTATTTAATGTTTTCTTAAAGAGTGTGTAAAGAGAAACACGATAGATAATTTTAGACCGAGGTAGTAAAACTTATGATTTAAAAATTCATAAAATACACTTATTTTAATAATTTGAAAAAAGAGAATAATTAATGAAGGAGTTAATTAAGCAAACATGAGGTTTGAAAATGATGACTACATTACATACCATGTGTAGAAGTAGCATGGTCATGGACTAATTAAATAAAATTAGTTTTTTTTAATTAATTAATCTATGCATATATTAATACTTTTATTAAAAAGAATTAGTTTTAAAAATAATTAAAGTATGAAAGGAGAATAAAATATGAATATGATTATGATGTCGAGAATGGGAAGAGCAACCAGCCATATCAACCACGAGACCTTCACGTGTGTCCACATCTTCTTGTTCACTACCAACCCCCCTCTCCGCAATATGATGGACGTTAATGAAGTGAGTGAAAATTACAAACATCAATGAACTGAATGAAAATTACGAACGTTAATGAAGTGAGTGAAAACTACGAATTGTAAATGCAATTTTTGAGAAAAAGGGATTCGATCAATTGAGTCAGTGAAAAAGCTGAAATCGCTAGAATTCATTGATCACCAATACGAGATATTGGATCGTGAATTCATTTTTGAACTTTGTACACAATTCGGATCACACTATAAGAGTTGATTATTATGTCCAAAGTCGTTATATCTTGACCGAATAAAAAAGATGATGTTAAATATATATAGAGCTAGTGACTAAAGTGAGACGTAATAACAAAAAGTAAGATCGTACTTAGTAGAATTAAATCAACACTATCCTCCCCTTCACCCCCACCCTCTTTCCAACCAATTTTTCTCCATGTTTTCTCAAAAATAAAATTTAAAAATCATCAAGTAATAATTTATAAATGAAAAGAATTAGAAGAACATAGTTCCACAAGCATGGGGTGTCCAATATTTAAAATATTGAAATTACATTATATATGCATGTCACTTCCATGCATGTATTTGTACAGACGTATATACTCAAATGACAAGAATTCCGTTTGTAATGATAATAATAATAATAATAATAATAATAATAATAATTAATAACAACAAAAACAATTAATTAGTCTCAATTGAAAATACAGACTTTGATGTTATACAATTATTAAGGTAAATGCATGTAATTAAAAAATACAGGTATATTTTAAATGGCTAATTTATCTAAACAATAATTATTGAGAATACGTGTGAGAGGTTTTCCAAAATTTGAACAGAAAGTATCTAATAAAAACATTTATCATATATTCAGATGCTTAATTCAAACAAATCGTAGTTCGAATATCTAAATTATATTTAGTAATAGATTTAAAGAATTATCAATGTATTAAAAATTGTAAATTTTTATAAAGGGAATCCAAAGTTGTCATATGGTTTTTCACCTAGTATCTGCTACTCACATTAGAACTCGATTAGTTTGACTCATTTTTAAAAGCGATACTTCCAACAAGATTTCTCTTATTCTCAAAATCCAAACCTGAAACCTTTAATAAAATTAAAGGGATCCAAACCGTCCCACCACGGCTCATATCGGTATCGTTGTCCTTCATTCCCTTAACAAAAGGAAAGAGTTGTAAGAAACAAAAAAAAAATACCTTATGCAGAAAAATCGAAATCAACAGCTTCTGATAGTGTCGAAAAGACAGTGAAATTTAAATAACGTTAATTTTTAATTAATTAATATAATCCCTTGGTAATTGAAAGATACTGTATTCATATAGTATTAATTAAGTGAAATTGGGTGGAACACTAGATAAAGAATACTATGGGTTATAATTTTTATAATTACTGATTAATCATAATTTAATCTATCACTTAATTGGGTTTTGAGCTTTTACCCCATTATAATTTTTCTTCTTTTTTGTCTGGAATCTATTTAACACAAAACTCTGTCAATTTGAAAAGGAGTTATAATTTCTTGGAATTTTAAACATTAGGTTATAATATTTATTAAATTAATTGGAAATATTGAATTCACGTGTGATAAGTTTGACTAATATTATTTTTTGATCCATTTATTTCGGTAAGTTGCGTAAAATTCTTGCAACAACAAAAAGCCAATAATATCAAAGAGGAATTTCTACACAAAAAAATGTGTAAAAAATGAGCACGTCTCCCAATATATAAAATGATTCGTTATGAAAATTCTCATCGATATTTTCTAACGAGTTTAACTTTTATATACTGTATTTGATGATGTACGTAATATTGTAAGTAACTTTCATAAAATGTGAGATTTATAAATTTAAAAGCAAGATAATATATATGCTATAACATGTAAAGACAACTTAATAGTATAAAAATAATAATTATATTGGTAGGGATTCTTTATTTCAAAGTGGTGTATTCTAGAATGAATTTAGATTAATTGAATTTCAAAATGGATATCGAATATGAGGTAAAATGAAAAAATGATCTCCTTAAATGTCCTCTTTATCATATATTAATAATGTGATTTAATTATTTTTGTCGGCGTATACCTTGAGAATATATAATTATGTGTTTTTTCTTTGTCTAATATTTCATTCCACATCATATGTTAAAAATTATTGAAAATGCTTTGAGGACTACTTCATAATTTAATTAACCATCAAAGATTATGATGAAGTAGTAAGTAATATTCTTTAATCTTTAATCAAAGATCACAAGTTTTAATTCTGAATGTGAAGTTGCATTTGATAAATATTGTTTCTCCTCCAAATTAAGTAAGACTTTTTAACGGAAATCTAAAGTAATCGAATTTCGAAATGAATATCCAACCCCAACCTCATAGAAAAACAAAAAAAGCATCATAAAATTGACCTTCTTATAAAAAGTTGTAGTTTTGACTAGAGTCTGCCTCAGCATCTTTAATTTTATCCAATTCTCTTTTTAACAAGATAACAATTTTTTTCTTGAATAAGCTCGTCATCTTTGAAATTCTTTTGTCCTTTTTATACTTTAATTTTATTATGTCCCTTTTAATAGAAATTTTATATACACACGAGGAAAAGAATATCTTTTTTTTTTCAATCAACAAAAGGGAAAAAAATACGTGAAATAAAATCACAAAAAAAGAGAGGAAAATATCTTCCTCCTTCAAAGGAAGAAGATTTTCGAATTAATTGTCCACTAATTAAATTATTCTTCAAATTCTCTTTTGGTTGAATAATTCTCTTATCTTTTAAATTCGTATGTTGTCTTGTTTTTATATTTAGTTTCCCTTCAATAGAATTCTACACATGTTCAAAAAGAATTATTATTATTTTCATTTGAACTTTTTATCTTAATACATATAAGAAAAATTGATCTAAAATATTTTTGAACTATGAAAAATAGAATAATTATGCCCTTTATTTGCTTTTAGCAACAAAAAGCTTTTGCAATTACTCGTTAATGAAGTGAATCAGATTTATCCCGAACTATTGAAAATAGTATAATTATGCCTTCTTCTTTTTTAGCATAAAAATATTCTTATATAAGTCCTCTCCATTAACCGACTTCACATAAATATAAATCAACATAAAATAAATGGTGAAAATACTCCACTTAACTAATAATAAAGATATTTTTAATGTCAAAAAGCAAACTAAGAATATAGTTATTCTATATTCACAATTTAAAGATATTTTGACCACTTTCAACACCACATAACAAAAAGTGGGGAAAGAAAAAAAAAGACCAAAATCACTGAAAAAAAGAGGAAAATATCATCCTTAAGAAGCTTTTTCAAGTATATACATATATATTTAATAATTAATTATCCACTAATAAAATTATTAATTCTTGATAATTTTTTAAATTCATTAACATCATCTAAACCATACTCCATTACTATTTAATTTCTCTTTATGGTAATCCACATCATTATGCAAATTAAATAAAGTACGTGTTAGTGTTCATATTAAGTCAAAAATAAGGATAAGATTACACTAATTAAAAGGTCATTAAACGTTAAGAAGGTGGTTAAGATGTGCATATTTTAGTAGGATCCAACTGAATTATATATACCTTAGGTGGAACCAACTAAAAGTTTATTTATTTTCAATTATTTTTTCTTTGGACAAAAATATTAGTTACACATAAGCATGAAAACGACCTTATGATATAAAATAAATTATGAATGAACCAACACATAAATACATGTTGAAATGGCCGACCCGTTATGTTTGTAAATTGTAGGTATTGCCTACACTGTTTGTTTATAGACTATGACATTTTGTATACCAATTATAACCAATGTTTTGACTTAAATTATGCAAAAAAATAAAAAAAGAGGGGGGGGGGGTGTGTGGAGGGTTCAAATTGTGTGGTGGATTTAAAATTCTTCTTAAATTGATTATATGAAATACTAAAGGAGTCATTTGGTTTATAGGATAAAAGGTTATAATTTAGAAATTAACTTATTTCATGATTCAAATCAATATAGTATTCGAAACATATATACTGATCAAATTAATTCAAATTCATCTAATACTCACTAAGAGGAATAAATCACTCTAGTCCCCAAATTGATTCTTTAATGATTCAAAATAAAATGCTCTGATATAAGAGCAAAAGAAAATTTTCAACTATTAATTCGTCAAGATTGTAGTAATATTTTCTTTACTATTATAGTGTTTAAGTAGTTTACGTGCATTTCGACTAATTTAACATATGTTACTTTCTACTACTCACCTACTCTTCCAGTTTTATTTTATTTAATTCTTATGATCTGAAATACTTATTAAGAACTTGTTCAAATTATACTTTGCAAATTTAAATTTGACTACTATTACAAAAGTAATATTGAAAGAAAATAAAAAATCTATTTTTTTTAAAATATAAAGGTCAAATGAAATGAAATAGAGAGAGTAATATTGTTTTTGGCCTCCATTTAAATTTATGATAACATTAGGGAGGTGGATTATACATGTTATATACTCTATAGTTTATACTATGTAGTTGTATATTATATTATGGTTGTATAATGCTACTTTATTTTACTTGGTTGTGGTATGGGGGTGGGTGGAGTGGGGGTGAGGGGTACCAAGTGGAAAGTAGGACCCACATAAGAGGCATTGCACATCCTTTGATGGCCCCCATAGTGTCCTCTTTACTAGACCAATACAATTTTGGACCACTCTCCAAACTCACCTATAAGAACCCCCTCTTACTACTCAAACTTCTACACATTCAATTCAATCTCTCAACACATCATCAAGAACTCAAAGCTCTAAATCAAGAAAATCAAAGATTCCATTTTTCTTCCTTCATTTTCTTGATTTTGTAACCACACACAACAATTTGAATCAAATATGAAGATGGGAAGCTCAAATATGGGAAGTTCAAAGAGGAGAATTTCAAGTAGAGGAGTTGGAGGAGTTCTTAGAGAACAAAGAGCCAAACTTTACATTATTAGAAGATGTGTAGTCATGCTTCTTTGTTGGCATGATTGAAAAAATTTAGGGTTTTTTGTTTTATATTCTTTTCTATTGTTCTTTTCCCTCATATTGGGAGTGTACATATAGCAATGGAGGAAATTAAATTAGTTAAAATGGGGGTTAATTAACAAATTTTGTACTAGTTTTAGATTATTATTATTAAGGCTAGTTCTTCTTGTATACATATCGGATAGTTTCAATCAAAGAAGAAGATTTTGATTCAATTTGTGTCTAATTTCTATTTCTTTCCCTATTTACATGGATTTGAGGTTATTCCAATATAAAATTTGGGATTAACTTTATTCCGTATTTGATTGTTGGTGTTATCTATCCATGGGTGTGTTCTTAATTATAATTTCAAGATTATAATTATGGGATAACTTTATTTTGACGAGCTTTTTGGGATTCAAATGGCTAGTCAAATACTTTGGTCCAAGATTATAATTTTGGGATAATTTTATTTTTATGAGCTTTTTCATTTATATCAAGTTTTTCGAATTCAATTCCTCTTAATGTTTTCTACAATAGGGAAATTGAAGTGCAATTTAGATGTTGGTCAAATACTTTGGTCATGGAGATTTAATTAATTTGTTTGAAATTAGTTGATCCAAAATTAGATTATTAAGTGCATCTAAATTAGATTAATGTTACTTCATGATTTCAACTTCAATAATTTGAATTAAAGTTCTACCATATATTTGAATGTTTATGAATCTATATAAGTTCTTTTGTACATGGCTTTCCCTCTTAATTTTTTATTTTTTTTGCTTTATTATTATTTTATGTTTTGGTGAGGGGGGAGATGAAGTACCTTAGTGCTTCTTAATTAAAGTTCATATCATTAATTATGATTAATTTTTTAAAGCATGATCTAAAGTGCAAAACTTTTCATGATTACAACTTACAAGGTTAAATTTAGCACCTAATGCTAAGATTATAAAATTGGCACATAAATTAATCATTTGGTGAAGCAATAGACGGTTAGGATCAAATGTACATAAAGTTAGTCAAACTAATTTATCCCAAACTTTTTGGTACTATTGGAAAAGCACGCTTAATAAGCGTTTAAAGCATAAAAATTATATTATAATAACATTTTTGTCACTTCCTTTATTCTCCGCATCAATTTATGTGATTGAACTTAAGATTTAAATGCCTAAATATTCATCTTATGATCAAGATATATGCATTATCTTTTTAAACTTTTAAAATTACGGGTATATTCACTATCAACTGTCTATACCTTTCAGAATTATTAAGTGACTCTTCCTATTCTGAAAGGAGTTTAATATTCGGATCCATAAGAGTGTCAATGGGTGTATATATCCCATGTTCTGCTTCGTTTTTTGGGCGATGCAGTCCTTGTGTCTTGTTATTTAATTAATAGAATATTTTTCTCATCTTCTAATCAAAATCAGGTTTCACAATTCATACGATTTTCTCAGTCACATCTCTACTCTATGTCTCTCGTGTCTTTGAGAGCACATTAATCAATCTAGGCCCAACTATCAAGATGTTATTTGCTTTTGCCAAGTTATTGACACCTTTCACTTTTATTCCCTTAAGTTTTAACGTTTTAATAACAAAGAATCTTCAATAGTTAAAGTCGTACGTCTTAACCTCTAACTTCTCTTTTATTTTAATATAAAATTTGTCTAAAATAAATTTCACAATATATTTATTTTAACTCGTTCAAATTCTCTCTATTCATTGTCAACGGTCGATGAAAAATAACTTATATTATTAAAAAAAAAACAGTGCATGTATAGTAAAAAGATCTTCTAAAGTACATATGTTATCTTTTTAATTATTTTTTCCTTGTTTTTACTCTTTTTTTCCCTAGCACTTTTACAGTTGTCTTGTTATTATGATAATCTAAATTAATATAAACATTACTTTAATTAACATAAAACTAGATGATAATGCGTAAGTAAATCTTGACTGATTTTGTTGTCGAGAATCAAACAAACATCGATTATAGAAAATATTGACGGCTTTAACAAATTAGTAAAGATTTTTTTGTTAAAAAAAATCGAATTTCTAAGCATGATTAATTGAATTATGAGCATAGTCCCAAAAGCCAAAGGGCAAGATATTATTCTTAAAATTTGCTCCTTCCGTCTCATATTAGTTATTTAAATTACTATTTATCAATTAATAAAATTAAAATAAACTTAATTAAAAAAATTATTTTACTTTGATAATTATTTTTTTCTCCTGAAAATGTAAATAAGTTTATAAAGTTCTAAAAAATAATTTAAAGGTAAATTAGTAAAATTGTTCTTTTATTTAAATTTCTTAGAAAAATGGACGATTAATATCGGATAGAGGGAGTAACAATTTACTCTCACCCTCCATTCACTTTTACTTTTCAAGAGTTAAATTGTATGAAACCTTGATGAATATTTTATGATGTATATTTTTCCATCATATTTACTTTGAACGTTAAATTTAAAATTTAAACTAATCTAATTCAATTTAACTCTGAAATTTAGTCAAAAACAAAATATCATCCATAAAAATGAACGGAGAGAAAAATTAATATATTATAAAATGTACCAAAAAAGCAATTCTTTATTTTGTTTTCTTGCATGCCGTTTTCTTTTTGGTGATCAAGACTATAATAAGTTCACTAGATACATGAAACTAGTCTCAATTAGTCCAATTATTTGTTCACTTTTTGCTACTATTGGAAAAAGCACATTAAAAAAGTGTCTTACACTTGTCATTTGGTCAATAAACACACTTGCTTAAATTAATCATAACATATTTATGGGGTTACTACCACGATTTGCAACACAAAATTAGACGGTTATAATGACATGATATAATATTATTTTTAAAATTTTTTAGAGTGATTAATAGAAATTTTCATTAAATTACAACAAGATCTAGCATCAATGATTCGTACCCGATCAAAATAAGAAAACAATTCGATAATATTTCATAAGTAAGGTTCGGGAAGAAGATGTATGCAAATGTTACCTCTACTTTTATAGAACAGAAAAATAGTTTTTGATTTAAGAAAAAATATTTTACAGAATAATTTTAATAAAATGTTAGAGTAGAAAGGTATATGAGATGAAAATAACAAAGAAAGAAAAGTACTCATCATAAGTATAGTACAATAACCAAAATAAAGAAACAAGAGTGATAATAAAATTGAACTAATTCATCGACTATACTCTAACAAACAAAGGTTTTTGGTGATTTATAATTTAAGCTTTTTCCACAATTATTAGTGGTTGTTAAAAAACATTAAACTTCTTTTAACTTACAATTAGATGATAATGATTTGATATAATATTTGTTTGGATATTCTTGTTCACACACCAAACATGGAAGGGTTTTCATTCCTTTAAATTATTGGAGTTGGGTAGTTGTCTTCCAATTATCAAAATAAATAAATAAATTCATTTTTCACCCAAAATCCACAATTATATTCTCTTCACTTGTAATTTTACTGAATATGTTATTATATTCATGATGAAGCTCGACTAAATTGAAATATATATAAAAAAATATCATTTTTGGAGTAAAACGAACTCTAGTAATGATAGTTTTGTATCAAAAACTCGGATATGAAATCTCTGATTAAAAATGACGGAATTAAAAAATGTGTGTTTTTAAAGTGATATAGGCTTATCATGTTATCTAATGGTCTTGTTAGGTTAAATGGTCAAAACTAGTTTTGTGGGCCAATTGGGTTTTGGAGTCCAGCCCATATCCACGTGTGAGACGTTTACTGTTAGAAAATGACTTCCAAGTTAATTCCACCTAACAATATTACTACTCATTTATTAACATTCATAAAATATATTTTTTTTTTGAAAAATAAAATTTTGTGACAGGACCACTTATTTTTTCTTTGCTTTCCAACTTGGTATTCAATATCCGCATTAAAATATAATTATATTTAATCGCGTAGATAGGAGAAGGCGAGCAAGATTTGTTGATATATTCCAAATATATATGAATCACACCAGTTACATGTATCTGGATGTGTACGCATGTGAGATATGAGAGTTGCAAACAAGATTTATCTATGTATTCCAGATACATGCAGATCCATTTGAATATAATATATAGATCAAATTACATCAAATTTTAACTCGTATATCTCGAGATTCATATATCTAAATGTACTAAAATCCATAATATTATAAACTGACGTATATTTAAGTAAAATAGATAAGGAATCCTTTTTCTTATAAAATATTTCCAAGCACCAGATTCCATTGAATCTTGTCATAATTAATTTTACCATAAGGGAAGAAAATACAAAAAAACAATGACAAAATCAAAGTTTTATACTTCTATTACATTTCAGGATGGATGTACAATCCAATTTTATTATGTTTGCATACTTTTCTTATGAATAGAGCCAAATTCACAATTCAAAGTGCAGACTTTAGAAAAAAACCCATACATGTACATCGATTACAAAATAAATAAATTAAGTTGAGCTCTCTATCCAATAAAAACAGAAATAAAGTTTGTATACATTTTATCCCATTATTTCACTTCTAAAATATCACTAGATATATTATTGTTGATTAAAAAAAACAAAATTCTTCCTATTTTTCGTACATGCTACATATACCCATAAGTTTATTTTCGTACTAAAAATTAAAGTTGAGACTTCTAATTAAAGAAGAAACCGTCTCATTAACTGCACGATATCTTTATAGCACCTCATCTTTATGGTAAAATTGTAAATATATACACTTATTTTTTTTTATTTTCTCATAATTAATTTGTAATTCATATTAGAGCTAGACTAAATCTAAATTTCGTATCGAAAAGGGGGTAAAATGAACCCTAACAAAAGTGAAAACTCGAACTCGAGACGTCTGATTAAGAATGAAGAAGTATTCACTAGTCCACCACTTCTATACTTGAAAACTCGAACTCAAGACGTTTGATTAAGAATGAAGAAGTACTTACTAGTCTACCACGACTCGATAGTGAGGGAAGTGTCCAAAAAAAGTGGGCCAAATAGTGTCAAGTAGTACAGGAGCTGGA